TTTTTGCTAAACCCACATCCAAACAACCAGGAACAATCAAACTCGGACCGGACCTGCTCTGATACCATGATAGAATTTAGGATGGGGTAGTGAATAACTGGATTGGGCAATAAGACACTTGGGTTGAACCACATTAAAAGATTGAATCCAATCGATTAGTTAGTTCAACTCAAGAGCTTAACATGGTATCAGAGCCTTGTTGACTAAGAGATCACGGGTTCGAAACTCAGCGCCACCCAGTTTGAAAAAATTAAAGTTTCACGTGCAAAGCTCGAAAAAGACTACGCCTGCACGTGAGGGGGCGTGTTAGAATATAAATAACTGTTCTTGGGCCACAACCACAAGCTTGAGCTTGTGGTTGAGTTGGTTTCTTAACAATATGCTTGACAAAATAACAGAGTAGAAAATAATATATTATTTTTTCAAAAGATAGTTTTTAAAAACTTTCCTCCAAAAATTGTTTTAAGCTTTTAGTTATTTTTCCAAATAGATCCTAACTCGCCTTGCGTCTACAGTATAGTAACAATACAATAAAGAAATAATGCAACAATAAAGGTAATGAATAATAATAGATATTTCCTAATACACCTATTATTTTTAATATCCTCATGCAAGCTGATCATCGGTAACAAGTAAAAGCTTAGCTTGAAGCATAGGTACTGAAATTGAGCCGGTGGAAATAGTTTTCCGATGAGAATAGCCTCTAGAAGTAGAGAGCGAGATCTTCGTTGTATGACGAACGAGCTTGAGATTGCGCTCGTGGAGTTTTTTTCGGTGAAAATCTTGGCGATTAGAGTGAGAGTGAGAAGTTTCTTTTTTTCTCCTTTCGGACTGTTATTTACTTCTTCATCGCTTTGCACACTCTCAATCTTTAGAAAAAAGCATAGACAAATATAATTTTCTCCTTCTTCGATTACACACATAGTTTTCTTTTGAAAGAGAATGATTCGATAATGAATTTTTCTCGTTCAAATATTATCTCATGCTATCCAATGCATAATATCCTACTAGAAATAAAAGTGGACAAATAAAAAAGAAATGAAATTTGATGCGGGAGTATATAGTGGGATGCGCTTTTTAGAGGACGAAGTTCGTTCGAGAGGAAATATATACGAGTATAAAAAAAGAAAAGAAATGTGAGAAAAGGGGGAAATTATGATTTCTAGAAAATCAACGCTCAAATGCCAAAGTCGTATAAGTCTGCGCACGTGTTGTTTATAAATCCCATCATTTATTTCTCTCACTGTACGGAAGAGTGTATGTGGAAAGTGGGGAATATTTGATGAGGAAGCACTCTAGACCATGTCTTATGTACATGACTACATGTAAAAAATTTAAAGTAAGAATAAAATATGAAAACTATATTGTTTCAAGAAAATATTAAAAGTCTGTTTGGTACACGAAATTAATTGAATAAGAATTGAATTAGAATTAAAATTTCATGAGATTTACTTCCATAGAATTGAATTCACTAATTCCAATTCATTTTTTACACTACCAATTCCAAATCTACATAATTTTTGTGCTATCAAACACGAGAATTAGAATTGAAGTCCTCAATTTCAATTTCTTAGTTTGAATTTCGTGTACCAAACGGGACCTAAAACTATATTAATCCATCTGTTTTGATTTCAATATGCAAACAATATATTGTATTTTAATATAAATCTTATCAATAGTTTCCTTTTTAATATAATTTTGAAATATTAAAAAATTATAAAGTTTATATATATATATATATATATATATATATATATATATATATATATATATATATATATATAGACACACATTATAATTACAAAAACTAAAAGAGAAGATTAAATCTGGAAAAATGAAGTACTTTATAATAAGCAGTTTTGATCAACTATAGGCATAATGATGTGGAACATCCTTTTAATGGCATGATATGAATTTTAAGAATAATACTCCCTCCGTCGTTAAGGTGTCGTCATAATTACTCTTCTGGACTCTTGATTGTTTGCACATGTTTGTTGACCATTTGATAAAATATTTATGTCAAATCTTGTTTGTAGAACTTTTCGTTTAATATTAGAAGAGTCTCATGTTGTTATTTACTACGTTTGACTGAAATTATTTTGAATTCAATTTATTCCAAAACTGGTAAGTGGTAATGAACTAAAAAATAAAATTTATATATTTAAAAACTGTATCAAAAATTTTGGAAAATAAGAGGTGACAAGACTTTATTATTTTCTCAAACGAGTCGTGAAAGTTGATCAAGAACGTAGTTTAATTTTGACCATGTTAATAATAAGCATGTTACTTAAATTGAGGCGTGGAGAGTAATATTTAAGAACTGAAATTTAAAAAAAAAGATTTGGGATGGATTAAGAATTCACACCCCTAAAAAAATGGGGCGCTGAGAGCTTGAAGTGGAAGATAGAAATGACACATACCACTACATCATATACCAAAATAAAACCTTCATATTTTCTATTTTAAAAAAAAGTTATAAAACTAACAATTTCGATATATATTAATAAAAAACATTGTGAAATAATAAGACCAGTGCAAAATTACTATTTCGAGATAAAAATATTAATAATCTACTCCTTACTAGTTTGAAGAATGAAGATAAGAATTATTTTTACTTTAATTAAAAGTGATTTCTTCTATTAGTAGTTGGAAGTCGGTGATATCCAAAAGGCCAAAACATTGGAAATTGGAGTATATAACATTGTGAGCTTCCCAAGTTTCCACGTCGAATCTTCCATAAACCGAACTTGAATTGCTCTCATAGACGGACGGAGTAGTCATCATATTCATATTCTCTCTAGTCAAAGTCTTATGTATACATAACCTCCAGATTTTTGATATATTTTTCTTTCATCCATATGAGTGTTACATACTTACATCACATCAGATTCTACAAATTTCAGGCGATTTATACTATAAGTGACGATATGCATACACAATTCATCAAATTACTACAATCACTTTCTAATAATTAACTTAGGCATAGAATAGAAGTCAATTTCAAAATAGGTATTACGCGATAAATGACGTTATTTGCAATTGTTTACAAATATAGAGCTTATTGTTTTAATGAGAAAAGTACACCGTTTACCTCCGAACTTTTTGGAATTTGTACGGTTTAGCTTCGAATATTAAATAGGGCACTGTTTACCCTCAATTTAAAACGTTGCACATTACGGAGTATATTAGTCCTAAAATGCTAGATAGGGATGACTTTTCACCAACGCACGAGAATTACGAGTACGACTGGGTCCTATGAAATCTCTAAAGTAACATTCCCCAAAAATATTGTCTTTTATCTAAATAGTCAGCTGGGGTAAATCATGCATTTTCTGAATAGTTCAATAATATTTGGTGCACTTTTTATTGTTCAAAGATAAACCATACAACTTTTGAAAAATTCAGGGGTATTTAATTGGTGCATTTTTTAATGTTCAGGGGTGAACCGTGCTATTTTGAAAGAACTCGAGAGTAAACAGTGCACTTTTATATTTTTTAATTCATAAGTTGCAATTAAATATTGATCTCTTTTTATGCGGTAATAATTTCATTCGTATCAATCGCTTCTCTCATCGTCATAGCCGACCTCAAAATTTTAATTCTAATGTGTTTGAGAACTTGAATTTAGATTTCAAATCTGAATTTGATCCAAATTACTTTTTTGGTAATACAAACAATTTAGATTTGGATTACTACCAAATTCTTCTAATTTAGAACAAACTCTCAATTGCAAATGAACAAGTCTCCCCATGTCATTTACAAATTTATGTCTAATTTTTCTCTATTTTATAACTTGCCATTAAAAAGTGATATCCTCTTATGCAACAACAATTCCACACATATATATCAACCTGCTTTCATCATCGTCTTTGTTGACTTCAAAATTCAAATTCTAAAATTAAAATTCTACAATTTTCCAAACAACATATACAATTTGAAATTATGAGATTTTAAATGTTAGAATTGAAATCTAGATTTTAAAATGAATTCTAGTTCTCAAACACTACCTAATTGAAATTCTATTATTTTCGAAATAGTATTAAGAATTCAAAATTATGGGATTTCACATTAATCTTGTACCCGAATATTACCTTTATTTCTAATATTAAATTTATATCACAATTCATACTTTTCATATAAATGTAATATCAGTAATTTTTTTGAAACATTATTTTGGAATATTAACTTTTTATAAAATACATCTATGTACAAATATAGAGATTGGTAGTCAAAATTTCACACTAGAGAGCATATAAAATCAAATTGAAATATTAAATCTATACAGAAAGAGTAATATATTAACTCTGAAAATATTAGTGTGAACTTTTACAAATGTTTATAATAATAAGTCAAAGAATTAAAATCTGTTTTTGATTCTTGTGAAATAAACATTTTTTGTTTTTAATCCCTCCAAACTATATTTTTTTTATTATCAAATCATCCCTATAAAATATATTTTTTACAAGACTAAGATGTTTAGTTTGAAAAAATGTGTTACCTCTTCTAAATAGAAGATCTAATTATGTTTGAGAACTATTTCCAAAATATTTTTTTTTGTAAAGATGACTTTAATAAACAACATTTTACAGAGACTAAATACAAAATTTGTTTATTTTACAGGTCATAGACTAAAAATATATTTAATTTTGAAATAAATGATGAAAGGACTATTTGCAAAAATAAATATTCATAGAGATGATTTGATAAAAAGATAATTTTTGAGGGGCTAAAAACAAAGTATATTTATTTTATAGAGACTAAAAATATATTCTACTCAAAGTCAAATGATATAGAGGGAGTACACATTTCTTCATTTTCATTGTTCATGCTCTAATAGTTGAGGTAAAAAAATGTCACTCTCATCAGTTTCACGTCGTCGTTAAAATTTCTTCTTTTTTTACCCTTTGGATCATCTCTTTCCTTGAAGCATCCCTCTGAATTCTTAATCTCCCCAAATACATGCCGCCCTATATATACCCTCGCCCAGTTGCCCCATTTCCCAACACTTGAAAAAAACATACCCGAATTACCCTCTACAACGTTAATTGTTTCCAGAGAATTGCATTAATTCACTGCAAATGGAGTTCCAGAGAGCGATCGGCGGCGGCGGTGTTGTGAAGCGAGACAGGAAGAAACAGGGGAAGAAGGGAAAGGAGGTGAAGGTGGTTTACATTTCCACTCCGATGAAGGTGAAGACGAGCGCCGCCGGATTTCGATCGCTCGTCCAGCGCCTCACCGGCCGGCACTCCGACATCGCCCGGATCATGGAGGCCAACGGCGGCGCCGCCTGCTGCGAATTCCAGGATTTCGCCGACGACCGGTCGCCGCCTTCTCAGATCCCGAAGACGGCGGATCCGGCGGTTGCGGACGAGTCGCCGACAAGCTCGGAATCTCAGGTGGATGAGCAATTTGAAGAGGTTTTTCCGATGGATTTGTTTCTGAATCTGAGCTCTTTCGATTTGGAGGACGATGTTCTTGGTGCCTACTAGCTCTTATTTAATTATTCCCACAATCAATTTTTATTTTTTTTAGTTGCAATTATTTTAATTTTGCACTATCATACTCTTCTCGTCCGAAAATTTTCTTTTTCATTTAACTTTTCAGAGTCTCCAATATTACATTTTGATCATTAATATATATATTTATACATAGATATGTTTTATAAAAATTTATTTTTTCAAAATTACGTTTCAATATAAATATATTGATATTAAATTTATAATATAATATATATATTTTTACATATCATGACCAAAATTTACAAAATTTGATCAAGAAAAGTCAAATGGAAAAAACATTTGTGGACGAGAAGAGTATTAAGTATTTTGACAATATTTGTTAATTGTAGAATGTATAATATTTGTATCGTGTAGGAATAGTTTCGATTTTGTATGAATTACCCCGTATGTATTACTCCCTTGATGCTGTAAAAAGATTTCACAGTGTTATTGGTTCGTTTAAAAAAAAGTATTCTTCACTTTTGAAAATAATTTTGTAGCCGCTGTAATACTTTTTACTTTATACGGAGTATTACTTTAAAACACATAATTTTATGTTTTCTGATCATCGTACTAAATTAACGATAGAACTTTAGGACCTTTGGTCATTATAAAATAGTCATTATTCAACTAAATGTCCATCGTTATTGGACATTATTCCTTCCACTAGGTCATTAATAAGTCCTATTTAGAGAATAAAAAAGTTTAAGTCCTACATTAGGAAAGTCATTATGTTTTAGTCCTATTTAGTGCAAATTTCACAACTTTTTATGAGAGGAATGGAGTATCAAAGTAGTGTACTCCTTAGTTTCATTTCTCTTTAGAGTCTTTACCCTACATAAAACATAATCAAGGCATTCTATCTTATTCAAAATGGTATCTAAGTGAAATTAAAACGAAAAATACAATAGTATATATCAATTTTTCATGCCCTTGGTCGAATTGTCTTTCATCCCATTACAAAAGTTGACCACCAAAACTTTAGAAAAGAGTTTACTTGTATTTATTTATTAATAAAGAAACTGATTTTTTCATATTTAAATAATTTTGTATAGAAAAAATTACTCCTCCCTCCCGAAAAGAACTTTAAGTTTACTCTAAATTTTTGATAACGAAAATGAGAGAAATATTTTTTTTAAGTTTACTCCAAATTTTTCAAACCAAACATATAGGAAAGATAATTATATTCCCGTAAATCAAAGACTCATCAAAATATTAACACTTCATTCATGTCCTATTCTTCTAGGTTAGGATTTCAGGGTTGAATGATGAAAGAAGCTGAAAAAGTGTTGAAAAAAACAGGATGAAGTTAGAATAGGCTGGAATCAGTTAAATTTTTTAGAAGAGTTATTAGTTTTAAAAAGTCATTTAATTAAATAATCTTCCAAATAAATATGTAAGAAAATTCTAATCTTGCGTAAAAAAATTCATTATTATACGTATTTAAGGTGATATGTTATAAATTTGAATGTATAATAATATTTTATATTAATCATATAAAAGTACTTTTTTAAGTCGTCGTTGTTGTAAGAAACTCGAAGGAGTTATAAGAAATGTTGGAAAAAGCTAGAAAAAGTTTAAGAAAATTGAAAATTAATTTTTCAAACGCAAAAGAATACGTTTTGGAATTTTTCATGGTGTGAAAAGTAGGCATATAGCATCCCGTTGAATTAGTTATGTTTGGTTGAATTAATTCGTTTTATTTGTTCACACTCGAGCGTTTATTGGTAAACTAATACAGCCAAACCGGTGGAAAATCAAAGATGACAACATCTAGATGAAGACAATAATGTTACCTTTGAGGACAAATTATTGACAACACTAAGGTCTCAACATCCTTTCAAATAAATTATGAGCCTAACATATTATATTAGGTAGTACGGAGTATTAGTTCTTCATTATACAGTAGCTACTTTCGTTTAAGATATTCGTTCACTTTAATTTTTTTAAAATTAATATCAAGTTGAATCCACAAGAACTTTTGTCAATTTGGTTATGTTTTACGAAGTATTATAGCCTATAGAACAATAATAAAGATCTAGTTGGATGCCACAATCGTAGGATCAGATTTTATAAAAGTGTTCGAAGAGTGCAAAAAAGAAGAAGAAATTTAAGTATATAACACAAACAAGGAACACTAAAGAGTTCGAGACTAACTAAATACAACCATCGTGAGAAATAACAAACTTCGTTCAACAATTGCAATGCAAATACATAGTTGTTGTGGTACCTCTTGCTCAACCTAAGGCGATAAGAGGGTGATTAACATCTATGTGCAAATAACTTATGTGAAATTTGCAGTGAATAAGACTAAAACTTAAGTCATTTCCTAATGTTAGACTTAAATTTTTTTATTTTCTAAATTGGACTTAATAATGACTAGTGAGTGATGTTCGACATTTAGTTGAATAATGATTAATAGATAATGACCAATGATCCTACATTGAGAAAAAAACATATATATAGTCCTATATTGAGAACGTCACTATGTTTTACTCCTATTTAGGTAAAGTACTCATAACTTATCCCTTAGATTGAGTTTATTGCATTATTACTCTCATGGCCACTCGCTTGCGGTTTTGATATTCTTATCCTAATGCCCATCTAGAATAAAATGCCCTTCAAATCTGAAGTGAAAATCTCTGTTGCCCTTGATGATTTTGAAAATGGGCACAACGGCCTCACTTTTTTTATTGTTTTCCTTTCCTTAATCTCTTTATTTTCTTAAATGTATTTAAAAGAATTTAAACTATGGGTGATAATGTTTTAAAATAAAAATATTTTGTGTTTGAAAAAAAAATCAATGAAATAAAAAGACTTTACACACACAATTTTTTCTCATATTAAATATTTTCATTTCGTCTAAAAAAGTCCTTATTGATTCATTTTCATGAAACCTAAATCATGGAAGCATTTTCTCCTTTTTTGCCATGAAGCTCATTTCCCATTTTTTCATTCTTTTAAAACTAACTTTGTAATGTTTCTTTATTGTAATCCAAATTAAAATAAAATAAAAAAGAAAAGAAAATAAAGAAAAAAATAAAAATGTACTCCCTTTGTCCCAACTTAATTAAATCATCTATTTTGATTTACGATGTTTCACTGAAGCTATTTTCAATATATTTTATATGACAGATGGCGTAGAATTAAAAAAAATAAAAATTACATAATTAAAAACTACATAAAAAGATCTATAAAACTAATGCTGACATGAGTATATTATTTTATCAAATGACTAATGAGAATAGAGAAATCAAATCGGACAATGACCGGGCCGAACAATCTAGTGGGACAAGGGTTAACCGATCGACTTAGGGGCCACCACCCGGTCTACTATAATTAGAATACTAATACTTTATATTATGTTATTATTATATCTTTTTAAATAATGAGGAATTTTAATTTGTATTTTTAACTCTTTTTTTCTAGTTTTCAATATCAATTTGCATATATCGTCACACTTTCCATTTGTATTGTCTTTTATTACTACTAAAGATAAATAATGAATATCTAATAACCCATTCCTATTAAAATGTCCGGCGCTTTTCAAACTTAAACTTTAACCAATAGTATCTCATAAATTATAATAGCAAAAATGTTTAAAATACTATATATTGTGCCATATTATCAGACTTCAAACTTCTATTTAGAATTGAAAAATGAAGCTTCTAATTTGATATTTTCTGTATATTTTAAGAAAAAATTTGAAGTAACCAAACTAGCGCTTATAAACATAAAATTCTCATTTCCAAGATATAAAGGGTTCGTTTGGTACAAAAAATTGATGAAATTTGAATTTAATTTGAAGTTGAATTTCTATAAATTTTATTTGGATGGAATTAAATTCTCTAATTCCAATTAATTTTTGGCACTAACAATTCCAAATTCACATATTTTTGTGTTACCAAATTACATATTTGGAAATATTACCCGCAATTTTAATTCCATACTTTGAATTTTCTGTATTAAATGCAGCCTAAGCAAAATTTTAGTCCTGGATTTTTAAATGAAAGGAAAAATGAAGATATTTGCAGCAAAAAAAAAAACTAATTTTTCAACCGAGGTAAATTAAAAACAAAATAAACTGCGTCGCCTGAGAGATTCGAACTCTCGCGGGGAAACCCCATGTACTTAGCAGGCACACGCCTTAACCACTCGGCCAAAGCGACGCTTTTATAATGGCTAGGGAATGTTAAGATTTGTATATTTAACTAACCGACGAACCGCAAAAGCCTCAACGACCGTTGGGTCCCATTGATCTAACGCCACCCAATCCCCCCCCCCTGTGGTGGAGAGGAGCCTGATCTCCATTGTCAATCCCTCCACCGCCGCGGCCACCCTCCGCCTCCTCTATGGCCTCACCCGCCACTACCTCCGCCGACGTTACAGGCCACGCCGCCGCGACTGGCGAGCTGCATCATCTCCAGACCCACTGGTGTCACGAATGCGACATGAGCGTCTTCCTCCTCCGCCCTCCCACTCCTTCCCCAGCGCGCTGCCCTCACTGCAGCTCCGACTTCCTCGTGCAAATGGACTCTTTTGCCCCTCCTCCTCCTCCTCCTCCGCCGCACAACCTCAGCTCTAATAGCCCTACTCTCGCTCCCTTATTCGCGGATCACAACGCGACTCTCATCCCCTCCGACGAGAATTTCCTCCTCGACAGCGTTTCTCTCAACCGCCTTATCCGCCGTATGGCCACCACCAACGAGGCATTCACCACCGCAAGCCGCCACCACAACCCTACCTCAAGGTCCGCTATACAATCGCTCCAAGTCTTAGAAATAGACTCTTCAATTTTGGAAAGGGATCCGATTTTGCCCTGTCCCATTTGCAAGGACCAGTTCCTGGTAGACATGGAAGTTAAATTGTTGCCGTGTAAGCACATGTACCATTCCGATTGCATTTTACCTTGGTTGGAGATTAACAATTCGTGCCCGGTCTGTCGGTTCCTGCTTCCGCCACGGCAAGATGAGGACTGTGAGGATGACAGTTTTCCTAGAGGGGATAACTTCATAGGATCAATGAGACTTGAAGAGCTGATGGATGATGACGAAGAAGAGTTTTTTCGATTTCAAAGCACTATAAGGCGTATTGTACAGATGAGTGAGGTCTCCACAATGAGTGGAGGGAGGGATGAAGCTGTTGTACACATTGAACGGAGGCATCGTAGTATGATGGAGGGTGATGGCACAAGTGAAGTCTTTCTGCTTTCTCCCACACAATTTGGGGAAGCTGATCTAGAGGTTGGAGTTGCTGGAAGGGCTGCCAGTGTGGAGACTGTTTCTAGTATCCCGTGGTTCCCTGTGGATAATGCCTGTGCTGGGGAAGTTGGTGTTAGCAGTAATAGTTTGGGTGAAGCAGATGCTGCAGTGAGGTCATGAAGTGAAGCCAGAAAGGTTAGCATCTTTCTCAGAAATTTACCTTCTGCAATTTACTCTATGATTTTTTAAGTTAGATAAAGACCACATCTGCTTAAGAGTCTGCTTGGATTGAGAACTATTTAATGCTGCTATAAGCTTCAGACTTATTGGACATTTGTTTACATTATCTTATCCTCCGGCCTCCGCTCCTCCCCAAACTGAACTTTGCACTATCCTTTTCGGTATGTCCCAAAATATTGTTTACACTTTCATGCTTTCCTATTATGAAGATGAGTATGTGGCTCACAATCTTTTCTGCTAAACAAATTTCAACAGATTTTCTTCCCACTATTATTGTTCAGTATCATTGGTGAGTTGAGACTCTCACTTTTTTCTTCCCAATACTATTGTTCAGTTCATAATTCTGTCATGCCTTAGTTGTTTATATAGGCACGGGATACAAATTTTTAGATGATTATTCTTCAATGTAGTGATTGATTAGCTGCATTTACTAAATAGGAGATCAAACTGTAAATACAATGAGTTCTTTGATTAGTTTTTGTTACTTCGTATTAATGGAAAAGCTCCCAATTTAACATGATAACAATAGGAATTGCGCATTGGAGCCTGGGACCAAAAATTTTAAGTGCTTGAAATTGTGTAGAAAGACGTTATAGTTCAAGGACTCACACCCAAACACACATCAAGGAAAAAGTTTGAACTCATAATTAAATCTAAAAAGCAACTACAGACTCTTCTAAGTTCTACCATTGGATTAAGGCTTAATTCAGTGCTCTTGCACAAACTCTTTGATGAACAACCACTGAATAATTTTCAATTTGTTACAACCATTTTCTTTTGAATCCGCTTTTTCTACAGAGTAAATAAAATCATATAGATTATATAAGCATGAAAGATGGTTAATTCTCTTGATGGGTGTGTGTTTTGCTGGCAATGAAAACTGCACAAAATGGTATAAATGATGTAAATTCTGTCTTGATTGCCAAAAGCCTTACATTATAGGCTTATTGCATTTCATTAAATTTTTCCAAAATTTGAATTATGTTCCGTCCATCCCTAAAAAAGTATTCCTATATATTCACTAGTTATAATAAGGTCAAACTATATCTTCTTTCCTACATGTTTTATTTAGTCATTTGTTAAAATAAAATAGTTAAGCTACCTCTTGTTTTATATAGCTTTTCATGTAGTTTATCTATCTATCTATCTCTCTCTCTCTCTCTCTCACACACACACACACACTCACTCACTCTGTGTGCGCTCGTAGGTGCGTGCATGCGTGGGGGTGTGTGTGTCTGCGTGCATTTGGGTGTCATTTTATGACACCAAGCTTTTACGGTGTTCCATTGAGCACCAAAGTTGTTCTTACCACCCAAACCCGCACCCTTCCACATGCACCCACCCCAAAGTTGTCATTTTGCTACCGTGGTTAACTGGTTACTACAGAAAAACGGAAAATGTCGTGAGGACTGGGGAGTTTGGGAGGGTTAGGGGTAGGAACAACTTTGGGGTCCAACATAGCATTGCAGGAAGATTAAATATTATTAGTTTCAAACCATTGAAGCAACAATTTAAATGCAACATGTTTATTGGAACTACTAATTCATTCATCAGTTATGGCCATGCGTAAAGCGGTTTGTTTCATGAATTTTTCTTTAAAGTATGATTTGAACTCAATTCTCTTAGAAATAATTGCATGATTCATGTCAGAATTATGCTCCCTTACAAAGTCGAAGTGGAATTTTGTATCTTTAGGTCCGTATTTATTTATTTATTTATTTATTTATTTTTGCTTGTGCATACCATCAACCTTTAATATTGACTGTTATTTCTTATCTGCCATCTAAATAGGAAATAGCTATTACGGAGTATAGAAACACATTTGGATCATATTATTTGCATTTTATTTCTGGTAACTATGAAAGAAATTTACATATAAGAAAATAACCTTCTAAGAACTATACTCTTGCTCATGAAACGCCTGAAAAATCTAAGCATTCAGGGATATGCCAATGCTTTACGGGCATATGAGTTGTGCGCATAACTAATTGTTATTGTGTTTAAGAGTATCTTTTAAAATTAGAGGTGCAGCACCCAGATTATTTAGTTTCTGAAAGTTGCAAACTTTTCTTTTAATTAGTTCCATGTGGATATTACGGAGTATAATAGAATTCTTTATGATCACTTCATTCTTCTTTACACAGATTAATGAGTACCAGTGTAGGCAAGTTTTGAAGGAATAGTTATTGGACCGATCATCAATTGTCCATTTAAGATATTATGATTATATATGTGATAATAAAGCATAAAAACGGTTTTAGGATCTTTTTTTTTGTTAGCAAAAATGGCAGAGCGTTTTCATTAAAATAAATGAATATCCCAAGAAAAAAAGATATCAGAATTAGGAATTGCCAATAAATAACTTAAAAGTAAATGAGAGTTAAAGTGTTACCATATTCATTTAATTTATAGTACCAAACACATTATCCATGCCCAAACAGGTCAAATTACTCAAATATACTAATAAAAACTTAAGCGGTGGGCGTGTTTTAATTTGCTTTCTCCCACCGCACACGACTCGTTTCTACACATTTCTTTAATGCAAGGAGTAGAAAGTCAACGACACGTGTCCGTCTCTACTCCTTGCTGCTTTCACCAATATTCTACTTCATCTCAATTCCCTTACTTTGATGTATATATATCCTACAATTTCATCCTCTCTAGAGAAAGTGACTATGGACCTTCCTGCAATTTCTGCTCCGCCTAGTAACTCTCACACCCCCAACCATTACCACCATCTCACTATCTATGGAAACCCTTCCCTTACCTCCGGTCCCATCAATGACTTTCCTACTTCGAGGTCTGCAATTGAATCACTTGAAAGCATAAAAGTGAACTCTTCATTTCTAGAAAAAGAGCCAAATGCTTGTTGCCTAATTTGTGCAAAGGAGTTCGAGTTGGATGGGGAAGTTAAGATATTGCCATGTAAGCATGTTTTCCATTCAGATTGTATTTTGCAGTGGTTAGAGATGAAGAGCACATGCCCAGTTTGTAAATTCCAGCTGCCAACACAGGAAGATGAGGATTATGATTTGCTGGGATTGCCAAGAGGCGAGAGTTTCATAGGGACAATAATTTCAGAAGAATTGTTGGATGAAACGGAGGAGGAATTTGTTAATTTACATGGTCCACCCGGACAAAACTTGTTCAGGCCTGATGTTACCGTGGACAGTTGGACGATTGACTTTTCCATGATGAACCATTCGGATTATGACAGGGAGTTTCTTGCTTTAGCAAGCATATGTTTGAGACTCAGTGATGTTTTGGATTATCTGTTTATTAGGTTCTGTGGCTACTGTGGGTGTTTGATGGAAAGTGATATTGAATGTGTCTTTGTGCCATCATCAGTGAACATTTCAGAGGATCGTCCTGGTGTTTATTTAATGGGAACAGCAACATTGAGGAGAGTGCGGTTCAGATGGAATTGAATGCAAAGTTTTAAACTTTGCAAGGTTTGGGTTTTGTTTCAAAGGAGGTATGATTTGCTGTTATTTGTAGATGATAGCCAACTTGTCCCTTTTTTGATAGTGAAATGGTTGACTGCTTAAATAGGTCCTAGGCAAATAGAATTGCTTGAGCCAATAGGTGATGCTGTGGTAGACTTCTAGTCACTAAGGCTTGGCGATTGTCAAATATGTCCACTTTATCTTGGTTTTTCTGGCAACATTGATATTGATAGCAGTTTTTTTACGTTTTAAAAACTATATTTAGACATGTTAGTATATATCCTTTTCTTTTGAATTTTGATCCCAACTTATCAATTTTTGGTCTGATTTGTCATTTTCACTTTATTCAATTACTTGAACTGAGGGATTCTGAGCTCATCTAGGAAAAAATGCTACATACATCTTAGTAACTTGCAGGAATTGCAGTCTATCTACAATGTAGGTCCCTTCCTATAGAATTTATTCGGCCATATCTACTTTGGGGTGTCAAAACAATTTCTTATCCCCCCCCATCCCAACAAATACTTCTTACTAATGTTTGTCCCAAAATAAACTTCGATTAAGTAGTCCCATCATTCCTCTCTCCTTTACATAAATCTAATCACACAATTTTTCTTTTTCTCAAACTCTGTGCGAAAGTAAATGAGAAGTCTAATTTTAGATGTGGGGAGTAAATAGTAGCGGGATTTAGTGATTGTCAATTGTTTATAGGGTTAAATATGTTTTTAGTCCCTATAAAATAGACAACATATGTTTTTGGTCCCTATAATTTCTTTTGTTAAATCATCCTTACAAAATTTTTTATTTTGAAAATGGTCCTTAAACGTGATTAACACTTATTTGCTGAAATAATACATTTATATCGTACTCAACATCCTAATCTTGCATTTGTAATCACCTCAGACACAATTCTCATGTCATTGATCGTGTCCTTCATCGAAGTACATCTCCAATTTCCAAATTATGTTATACTATATTCCCAAAATATTTGGCAATTGGAGATGTTATATAAATATTGATACAATTTCAGTATGTTCAGAGGTAGTAGAATTGTGTCGGAGGTAGTAGAAATGCAAGACTAGGATGTTCAGTATGAAATAAATCTCAACAAATTAGAAGTGCAAATTATGTTTAAGGACCATTTTCAAATTAAAAAAATTTGTAAGGATGACTTAACAAAAAAAATTACAAGGACAAAAAATAGAAGTCCTTATCTTGCAGGTTTTAGAAACAAATTTAACCCTTATTTTTATTAGATAATCAATTTGCCAAACAACAACAAACCCAAACAATGCTGCTAAGAGTAATGTTTGGGGGTGAGTGCATGTAGACCTTACCAATTGGGTGTAATGTATGTGCAATCAAATCATGTACAAGAGCAAATGCACATAGCTGACTTTCAAATCATAAACCAACTAACCATTATGGTACAAATATTAACATTTTATGATATGACCATTTCTAGTATTGTTTACATAGCTGTGCACCAGGGTGCAGGCTCAACTAAGCCTCAAGTATGAGCTAGTTGGGATAGGCTATTTGGACTCTCTCTCTCTCTCTCACACACACACACACACACACTCACACTCAATTAGCTCTATTGTAGCATTATCTATAGAGGAATTTACATAAATAGCACTAAAACATAATGACTTTTCCTAAATAGCATCACATGTATTTTTTTTCCCAACGTAGCACTTTTACTCATTATCCATTAGTCATTATTCAAGTAAATCTTCGCCATCACTGGACATTATGGACATTATTAAGTGCTATTTAGGAAATAAAACAATTTAAGTGTTATTTAGGGAAATGACTTAAGTTTTAGTGCTATTTAGTGCAAATATTTCTTATCTATATGCCCTTTTTGTCCCTTAATAATGCCTACCTTGGTTAACTATTCATTCTCTCCTTGCTGCATAGGTTTCCCAGTCATAGTTTTGTTTACTTTGCTAGGATTTCCAACATATTTATAATTTATCGATTCTTTAATTTCACAAACCAAACCGTAGCAAGTTAGGAACTATATGGCACTCAACATATTATATTTTTCTATTGCTTTTGGTTCTAACTTTTCATGCCCGTCCTTACGTGCAGATGATGTGTTGATGGCCTGCTATAAGGAGTCAGTTTATGAGAAGGAATAAAACGGTCACCCTGCAGAACCTGTGGCGATATTGATGATTGTAAAGGTCACAGTGAAACATAATCTTCTGTTTGTGAGTGAACCCTTTGGTTTGCTTTGCTTTGCTTTGTGAGTTCTTTTAGGCTGTGTGTATAATATGATGTTGTGTTGTGATGGCTTTGGTTGGAGTGGCTTATGTAATAAAATGAACTCTTCTCATGTTCTTGAAAGTATTTTTCTTTTCTTTTTTTGTGTGTTCCAATATTATTTTCTTTTTCCCTAGGGAATAAAATGTGGTCGGTATTGTTTTATACTCTCTCCTTCCCTAAATATTTGTCACACTTGTATTCCCGAGGTAAAATATCAAGTTTTTTCAATTCATTTTATTTATATATTGGTATAGAAATAAAAAAATAAAATTTACATATCAAAAAACTACATGAAACGTTCTTCGAAATAAGAGGTGTCAAGAATATTTTATTTTATCAAATAACCAATGAAAACGTAGAAATAAACAAAAGTTCTCCCGACTATTGAAAAAGTAAGTGTGACAAATATTTTGGCACGGAAGCAGTAAATTTGAATAGTGTATCAAATTTAGGAGTTTAGTAGCGACGGAAGCACTGTTTGTTTACTTTTTCAAAATCAGATTTTTCAAATTTATGTACTTTTTCAAAATCAGATTATCAAAATCTAAGTTTTAGAGCCTTCAACTTATTTTTATTTTTATTAGTTATTCTCTCCGTCCCAATTCATTTACAGTTGCCCTACAGTGTGTAAAATTTTATTCCGTATCTTTTTTAAAATAACTTTATTCATAAGTTGATACAAAAATAAAAGGCACAAATTACATATTTAAAAAAATACATCTAAAATTTTATAAAACAAGATGCGACAATAATATTTTATTTTATAAAATTACTAATGAAGAGTACGAGTAATCAAAAGTTATCGTGAGCCTCAAATAGTGAAAGTATAAATTATTTTGGGACGAAAGGTGTATTATTTATTCTAATTAGAATCAGATCTCTGTGAGACTCAATTGGATTATTGTTGTTGTATTAAAATCAGATCAAAACTATATTTAAATATAACTACAATTAAATCTGACCATATCAGACTTTTATAAAATCATATACGTCTGATCAGATGGGGAGAACAAGCTCTTACTCCCTCCATCATAAAATTGTCTTCTCATTCACTATGGTTCACCTAACTTCAAAAAAGAGTTCCAGTCAATAAAAACTACGTACTACACATGATTTTATAATTCTAAACAAATTTTTAAATAAATTGGATTGAAAATACTACAAGTCAAACATCATAAAAATCTGATATATAAATGAATTTGAATTTTTGGTAGCTTTGAGTTGGACATAGGGGCTGTTTGTTTCAGCCTCTTAATGGTTCAGATGTCTGAATGGTTCAGCACTTAATGGTTCAGACTGTTTGTTTCAGCCTCTTAATGGTTCAGATGTCTGAATGGTTAAGAGATTTGCTTCTGAATGGTTAAGTATTATACAGAGTCTGAATGATTAAGACCTCTTATCTGAATTGATCAGACATTTGCCTCTGAATAGTTAAGCAATATACTAGCTCTTAATGGTTCAGACCTCTTACTGGTTCAGCACTTAATGGTTCAGACCTCTTACTGGTTCAGCACTTACCCATTCAGAAGTTGCCAAACAGCCCCATAGACTTTGTTTGACATTAAACGTCCGAGCTTAACATTGGCATTATGATCGAAAACATTATTTAACGATAGCATTTAGTATTCACATTTTAAAAATTAATCAACACTATTAAAATGTTATCTAAAATATCAACGTTAATCGAAAACTTTGTTTCCAAATAAGACCATAGTCCCTAATTCTCCATGTTGTTGCCCTCATCTCTCTTTACTCTTCCATCTTATTTTTTCATTCTTATTTTCTCATTATTTTTAACCATCCAAACTACAATTATTTTCCTTTCATTTTCTCCTCTCACTACTTTTTCGAGTCCTTTGCGCCATTCACCTCTGAGCTTTTCGAAAATGTACGGATTCACTCCAAACTTTAAAAATTACATCGATGTCCCCTAAACTTTTTAAAATGTTGTACCAATGGTTTCTCTATTGACAGATCTGGGAGCGCACTAATCACACACTCATCAATATACGTGTTGGAACTTGATGAAAATGTCATGAATTGACAACAAGGTTGATCGCATGGGTGGCCTGGAGGGTGTGCAAAGGGGCCAACCGCACAGGGTCCCTTAAAATTTAGGGCACCATATTTTTAAATTTGTTAATAATTTTAAAGCAAAAATATTCTAAAAATATAAAATAGGGCACAAAATGTAAATTTCGGACCGGGCCAATTTTATTTTTTCATTTTTCGGGACCGGCCCTGGTTGATCGATTGATGACGAACTTTGCTGACATATATCCAACCTTCAAATTCAGTTACTGTCTTATTGACGACGAAATTGAGAATAATTATCTAGGGTTTAAAGAAGTTAAAAATATAGAAATAATGTTTGGGAAGTGCATATTGCAGAGCTCACGTGTTATAGATGACTTTATATGAATTCATACTTGTACTAGATGAGTGTATATAATGCACTCCCAAATCTAACACAGAGGGACCATTGATGCACTTTGTTTAAAAGTTCATGGGGCATTAGTTTAATTTTTAAAATTCAATGGGAATTCGTATAATTTTTTAAACGTTTAGGTATAAATAAAGTAAAAAAGTTGCATTTTACTGACAATGTTAAAATGCTGGTGGGCCGAGAACAAGAAGTAGAGTATCGGGTAAAATTAAATACTTGCATATAAAGTTCAAATCCGCTTTCTAACCTAGAAGTTTAAGTTGATAGGTAAGACTTCACTCTTCTATATATGCTAGTAGTATCCATCTTTATTTTTTTGATGTGGAACTTCAACACTCCCGCTCAAGTTGTAACTAGCCTGACGCCCTAACCTAGTTAGCACTTGGACAAACGGGTCTAGCATATAAATTTCTTATATCTAGCCCACACATTAAGCGGTGGCATCTCAATATCTTTTTAGCCAACTTAACCCAAACCACGGACATATAGCTTTTTTTTGCTAAGCCCACGTCCAACAACTAGGAAGAATCGAACACGGAACGGACCTGCTCCGACATCATGTTAAAATGCTGGTAGGTCGAGAACAACGGGTAGAGTATCAGGTGAAATTAACCACTTGCATATAAAGTCAAGATTTGCTTTCTCCCAAAAGTTTAAGCTGAAACTCTTCTATATATGCTAGTAGTATTCACTATTCAACTTTATTTTTAAGATGTGGGAATTCCAACTCATATTGATTTATTGCCTTGGTCTTAAAAAAAGTAGGAGTAAAATAATAATATCTTATATCTCGTCTCGTGACATTTGAGTCATGAATTTAATACTTTCTTCATTATTAAAAGATTGTTATAGTTTGATTTTTTTGTTAAATGGTGGCACTTTTTGACCATGAATTAAATATAAAAATTATTACAATTTGATATTTTAAAACTATATTTTAAAATAAACACAATTTTACTGAATTTACATTATAACTTAGTATTTTTTTTATAAATTACGGTTAAAAGAACTACAATTTTAATACTCCGGGTAAAAAAATTAAAGTATGATAATCTTTTAATAATATGTCATCTCGTGACACGTGAGTCATGAATTTTCCCTTGCAAGAAACGCGCAGCTCTTGGATGGTGTTCCCACTTCGCACGCAACGCAACAAGTCATTGGTCCGCCTATAAACGGAGTATTTTATGATAAATAAAACAAAAATGTTAGAAACATGTCAAGCTTGCCACACACAAAAAAAGAAGCACTAGCATCATTTTTTATTCAAAGAATTTGATAGAAAAAAGGAAAAGGAAATGTGATGAAATTTTATTTTTTGTTTGATTAGAGTGGAACAAGTATACAAATTGAAAAAATAAATAAAAAATGAAAAGACAAAATATACTTGCTTGAACGAAGAAAAATCAAATTCCCAAGAGAAAATTATTACTTTTTCCTTTCCTTTAAAATTTTCATTTTGATAAGAAGACTTGCACATCCCGGCCTATAGTAACAATTTTCATTATGTTTAGGTTATATTTAAGATAACTTTCCATTAAAAAAATCTAATTCATATTCTCTTCGTCTCTCATAAATCTTATTTTTATTCAACTTACTTGATTATTTGTGTAACATTTAATAATAAAATTTACTCCATATAGTACATAAAAAACTACACAAAATATTCAACAAGACAAGATGTGATAGACAAGACTATATTATTTTGTAAAATAAGTAATAAAAACATGCAAACAAAATGAGTTATATTTGATCTTGTGAATATTATTTAAATAGATCTACTTTCTCCTTCCAATAAAGATAATCTCATTTTGAATTTTAAAAAAAAATGATAGGAGAAATATTTTTGTATTGACTCTCTAAAAGTGTCCTTGATGTAATGGGTAAACGTAAGATACATTATATTTATTATTAGCAAAAAGATTGATGTGATATGTAATTAAGTTAAAAATTAGTAGGTATAAAAGTCATTTTTTAATAGAAAGAGAAAGACTTTTATGGAACAAGAAAAAAATGAGAAAAAGTTTTTGGGATGAAGAGAGTAAAACGAACGGAGAAAAATACTTTACTAATGACGTCTCTTAAGTTCTCAAAAGTACGCTCCCTGTCCTTGAATATTTGTCTACTTTTAATTTTTAGGTCAAAATTGGTAGAATTTGACATTTATGACTTAAATTAAATAAAAATGATATTAGATATTGATACAAATTAAAAGTAGTCTTATTATAATTTGTTATATCAACTATTTTCAAAATATTATTCTACCTAACTAATATACAATATTGTTTTAAATTAAATGTAAAAATTCAAAAATATTTGATCAAAAAAAGTCAAAACTGGACAAATAATGCGGTGGTGTTCGTTGCCAAACCAGACGTCTACAAATTTTGTGTTTACATTGGAAGGCTCTAGCGTTATCCATTTTACGCAACAATTATCCACGTGTCAGACGCAGAGTCAATACCGTATATCACACAATTTAATCCATGCAAGCAATTAAGAAGCTCCAAACACTATATAATTCTCACCTCTTTCCCAATTTATTTATTTATTTAACTTCGTTTTCAAATTAATTTAAGAGAAAAAAAAGAGATTATTTACTAGCTTTTTCCTCTGACCTCTTCCTAGCTTCATTATACCATACCTCCGGCCACCGGAAAAATATATACATTCAGTAAAGAATAGTAACAAGAGCCCGCTGAGATCAATGGAGACAGAGAGCGGTGACGTGGCGGCGGCGGCGGTGTGGGTGAAGGTGGGGGTGTTTGTGGCGGTACAAGCGCTCATCTATTTCATTCTTTCCAAGTCGTCCGATCTCTTTTCCGGCGGCAGCGGGACGCCGCCAAGATCCGGAAGCTTCAAGAGGGCTCGCACCCTCAGCATCCGCCGCATCGTGGCCGCCTTTTCCGACTTTCCGGTCGGCGTGGACAGCTCACCGGTCTCTGCTGACGACTAATCCCGTCAACCTTATCTTATCGCTTTTTATATTGTGTTAATAATAATACGGAATATTCTTTGTACGTTTGGTTATTATCGTATCATTCTTATTATGTACAATTGTTAGTCAATCAAAATAGATACACATTATTTATGAGAATCTTTATATTTTTAGTTAATAATTGTCTTTTATGATTCCTTGGTATATATGCTTGGAATCCTCTCTATATATACACATTCAGTACTTGTATTCTTCATACTCCCTCCGTCCCATAAAGTGTTACCCATTTTGACTAAAGTAGAAATTAAGGGAGAGATAATTTTGTGTTGACTTTCTAAAAATATCCTTGATGTGATGGGTAAAAGTAGGATGTGATGTGTAGATTATTAGGAAAAAGGTATGATGTGATAGGTAGGGTTTGAAAAAGTAATGGGTAAAAGTGGTTTTTTAATAGAAATAGGTAGGAGATTGTGGGACATAATTTTTTTGAAAGGTGTAAATCTTTTTGGGACGGAGGGAGTATTTGACAATCGATCAATACATGCAATTGTTTAATTATTCAATATGGTATCGGAGCTACGGCTTCTTCACTAACTCTAGCCTCCTTCGTGTCTTCTCTCGGCATAGTCCTCTCTCTATCTGCGATCGTTCTCAAGCCCCTCCCCCCGCCGATCCTCTCTTATCATGACGACAAACGGACGAGATCCGTTTGGCACCCTACCTGGAGGATTGAGGCTATTCCTTCACAATCTGCACTCACTTGTTTCCACAAAGTTGGAGGACAATAACTATCGGTCCTAGTCATCAACTGTTAAAGTGACTTTTACTACTCATCGACTTTTGGGTACGTAGATGGTATCGATGCAGCACCACCGACAACCATTGTCAAAGAAAAAGCTAGCTACATACTTCGACTGCATGGGTCATTATTGATGCTCAGCTGCATGCTTCTCTTTTTGATCTTCTCTTCCAATTATTGAGAATCAGGCTCATCTCTGTGCCACCGAGATCTGAGGTATAACTCCCTATCTCGTACCCATATTTTTCAACTCAAAGAGCAAGTTTATAATCTTCACAAGGGGCAGTTATCATATCTTGATGAAGCTTTAAGAATTGTTACGTTTCTTGCCCTCGCTCGTGAGCCAATCATATCCCATAACAAGATATCATACTCAGTCTTCTGTATGGTCTGCTGTCAAAATATGCACCATTAAAATAAAACATCCGGACTAATATTCCTAATCTTACGCTCAATACTGTTTCATTCTGGTTATTATCTAAGGAACTAAATATACAGCTTGAATAGGAATTATGTCTTGGTACTCCTCTAAGTTCCTCGACAAAGCTACATGCATTTCTCTATGACTCCAATGGCAACTCTTCTAACCAACGTGGGCGTGGTTGTGGTCGTTTTGGAGGTGGCAGGGGGACTGGCCGAATCAGTGGCAGTGGCGGCATATCTGGTGGCAGCGGCAAGTACAGTAGCAGCAGCAGTGACAGCCATGCCACGACGGGCGCAGACGCGGTCCTGCAATATATGTTATGACCCTGTTATGAGCCAAATCTGTGGAAAGTTTAACCATAGTGCCCTGTGGTGTTGGAATTAGTTTAATGAAGATTTTTCCGACTCGTCTGAGTATAACCATAATACTCAGGCGTTATACACTGCATACTCTATCTACACAATTCAATCTAAATCGGCACCTAGATTCTATAAAAACTACTCATGTTATCTGTGATTTGTCAAGACTACGGAATCCTCATTCGTACCATGGCTCGAACTTTGTCTCCATGGCTGGGGGTAGGGCTGTTCATTGATTTAGGACCAGACCGAACCGGATCAGACCGAAGACCAATTTGAAAAAAAGTAAAGACCGAAGACCGAACCTATAAGCATTCGAGTTTAGACCGAACCAGACCAAAATGAATAGGACCGAACCGATAAGACCTAAAAGACTGAAATTGCACTAGCAATCTAGGCTAACACAGTGTAATGCTGTAAAAAATGCAATAAAACCCAACCAAGAAACGAATCGAGCGAACTTCAAATATCAGTACTTTATGGAGACAATAGCCCATTTAAATAGCCAACCTTAACATTTAGCAATAAAAATGCAAAATTTAAAAAAATGGAACAAAAAACCTAATGTTATAGAAGAGCAAATTCTGAAATTAGAAGTGAAATAGGGATATGAGAATGTCATGCACTTGTGTTGCCACTAACCAGTAATTGAGAGCTCGTATAGAATTTGTGCGAATCTAACTTCGATTGCGACTAAGGAACAAAGGGTGAGTGGATATTGGAGTCATAGTATGTAATAGGAAGATATCGAGTTTTGTAAAGTATGCAGTGAAATAGGATCAGCAGTCACCAACATTCTTTGTTAATTAAATACCATCCAAAGTCTAACAGTTTCTTTGACTCCATCCGGTTGGAAGTCCAACACTCCAACCGCTATAGCAAATAGTATACAATATTCTCTCTATTTGTTCATATTTTTAAAAAGTAATTACTACGCATATTTTGTATTTAGTTCATGTGGTTAAATATTTATCCATATTTAAAAATAGAAATTTAATTTTATTTGTCTGATTTTAAGTTTGTAACTATATTTTTCATTCTAAAAATAAAAAATATAAAGCAAATTTTATTATGTAAATTTTAAATTACGTAAAAGATTATTTAGTATGTTCATGTTTATTTATATTATAAAGATACTTGAATCTTCATTTAGAATTCGTGATAAATATTTAATCAATTTTGTAAAACTTAAACTGTCTAATAATATAATTTTTGTCATATCTCCAATGCATCATTTTTGCCTAAATGTTAGCTTCATTTTTAAGAACTTGTTCTTACTTTGATTGCATTTTTTTGGAAATACACAATAAAAGTTAGACTGAAAAAACTCCTTTGGATACACGTGAAAAGATTAGATCAACAATAAATTTTTATGGTTGAATTTTTAGAATTTTTATGGTATTTGTATTCACTTTCAAAGTTTGAACGGTCTTTCTTATTAAAAATATCCGCATTCATTATAAGCCGTATTTTTGAAAAATTAAACGTATAAAATACGTACGTATCCGTATAGGTACTCGATCTAAATGTATAAAACGTATAAAAAATGTATTGATGGATACCCTGGACATGGGGTATCCGGTCTTTGTATAATATTAATCAGAGCGGTATAGTTTGTTGGACCAACCTGTTAGTCATATATTAGTTACTTATTTTAGGGACGACCCAGTCTGTTGAGCCGGCCCATTGGTTTGTATATGGGCTCAAGTCGTAGCCCAACTCCCATTATTTATACCCCTATTCCTAGAGGAGGTAGGGGGATTGGACTCAACACACACACACATTCAACACTATTTATCGGCCCCGAAAAATGAAAAAATAAAATTGTCCGGTCTAAAATTTACATTTTTGTGCCCTATTTTATATTTTTAGAATACTTTTGCTTTAAAATTATTAACAAATTTAAAAATATGGTGCCTTAAATTTTAAGGGACCCTATACGGTTGGCCACTTTGCACACCCTCCGGGCCACCCATGCTATTCATTATCTTTTTCATATATTTTCTTCTTCTTCTTCTCTAACTATGGATCCACAAATCCAATACGTATTCTAAAAACATGATTCGTATTATTCACAAAATCACGAATAAATGTATTTTACCCGTATCTGAATAAGCTAACAGTCAGTACATAATTGCGCACGTGAGACTTCTATCTTTTCAATGTTTCAAGTTTGTAGCTACTGTCCAAGCTTCCTCTTGCTTTATCGAGACTTAGCTTGAAGGGGAATATAAGACAACAATGCTTAATATTTTTATTTTTGATAGATATTAGATATTGATACAAATATACATTTAATAGATTTAATTTATAAAGTACTTTCAAAATACTATTTTATTCAATTAGTATACCATATAATTTTAGTTTAATTACTCCATCTGTTCAAGAATTATCTTTCCGCTTTCACTTTACAATTTAAGAAAATGTAAAAATGATTCTCTCTACATTTGTCCTTAAATCATTAAAAAAAGTGAAATAAAGTATATGTATGGATATTGGATAACAACTAATGTGTAAAAATTGTAAAATTGAGGGTAGTAAACTGTAAATGTTTTTTACAAGAGCAATGCTAGGGGTACACCAAAGGTGTACCCAAAATGTACACCACCCCCTTCTTTACCATCCATTTTTATTTTATTTTTATTTATTTTTTTTTTTGAATTTCTTGCCTCTTTTTTGTGGACAAGGAGGGAGTGGGAACAAATGGGATACACATTTGGGGTACTCCTACCATCTTTCTTTCTACAAATATTCTGGTAGGCGGCCTCCGGGCACTCCGGCAGTGGAAGAAAAGTGGATAAAGGCGGCCTTCATTTTAGGGAATCCCGAATTCCCAAATTTCAATGTTCCTATCCAAGCGTAAATTGGACGTCTTCAACCAGTTATTCCACCTTTTACGTTATTTCTTGGCATCAAACAGGTGGCTATGTCATGCACGAGATGCATACTTATGTCCTTGCTCGCAAGATCTAAGACAGAATCTGGATTTTCTTCCGCCTCTTACGTGAATCGCCGCTTTTGCGAGACCCGTTTTCTTCTTTTTTGCTTTGCTTGTTGACCCGGGTATGGTTTTTCCCTCCCTATCAAATTTGCTGGTTAAATAACCATGTACTTTGTTCAGAGAGGTCTGCTGTTTTGTGTGAATTCATAGATTATGAAGGCTTGGTTGAATTAGTGGCGATCTTTCTGTGTTCTTGATCTTTTGATTTTCATCACTTTAGGGTTTTATATATTTTTGGGGAGATAAAATTTGGGTAATTCTATGCTGATTAGTTTTAGTAATTATCCATATAGCTGATTAGATTTCGTATATACTTTGTGCTGCATTTGAATTTGTTGCAAAGATCAATTTTTTTACTTTGGACTGTTGTGTAAAAATTAACCACAGCCAAGCATTGCCTTTTGTTTGGTAATCACTAATCACAGCCACTGGCTTTTGGATTTCTGTAGCACTATGGTTGGGAGCAGTAGTGAAGATGATGAGTCATTGACCAAACCTCTTGGAAGGTGCTCTGTGGTCTTCTATGGTGTGGGCCACATGCTCAATGACATTACCTCTGCCTGTTGGTTCACATACCTTTTGGTTTTTCTGACAGATATTGGCTTGTCTCCAAGGTTTCCCACTTGGCCTAATTTTCGACAACACTCGTTTTGTTGAGTCTTTATTAGACGTGCCGTTTATTCAAAACTTAAAATATTTTCACATCTTTTTGTCCACAGAAAAGCTGCAATTGTCATGCTCTCAGGTCAGGTTGCTGATGGATTGACTGTCGTATTTGCTGGCGAGCTGGTACCAATTCATTGCCATAACTTGAAGTCATCACTTTGTTGTTTAGACTTGAGAGTATCGACCATTTGTGTAGTGCTGCTATCATGATCGAAGTCATTGCTTTTTTACAACTTAAGGAAATGGATAAACACCGCGAAATTATTGCTTCTAGAGAAACTGCATAAAATCTTTACCAATTGCTTCTAAGATTACCCTGAAATTTTAGGTGATTCTTGCACAGAATTAAATGTGATAGAAATTATCTTTGAATTATCAGGGTCTTGCAAAAACGAAAGCTGGAAGTGATCATTTTTCTTAATATAGATTGATAGGTTTGGACATTTCAAAAGATGGCATGCCGCAGGATCTCTATTGGTTGCTGTCTCATTTTCATCAGTTTTTGGTGGTTGCTTGCCTTGCAAAATCTTTGGTTTTAGTTCGCCTCTTCTGGAAACTATCGGGTATAGCTTGTTCGCGGCAATATTCAACATTGGCTGGGCTGCGACTCAAGTGTCACACATGTAAGTGATGTAACTAACTTGCATCTCTCTCTCTCTATTTATTCAGTCATCATTGGCCAATTAATAGTGAATAGATGTGATGTGATAGGTAGTGTTGAATATTCCTGCAACTCTCCATGCCTTCTAAAGCATGTACTATTCCTGCAACTCTCCATGCACTCATCACTCTTCTTGGCAACCAATTCTGTCCATGACACAAAAAAACAATAAAGATTACGTTCTAGCGTATCCAGAATTTGTAGTGTTTGGGGGGGGGGGTGGCAGCTCCACAATTTTATTTATAAAGCGTAATAAGATTTTTTAATACAGAGTATTAAAATAAGAAAACAATTTATGCAAAAACATCAGCTATCAAATGCTCTATCTATCCCATAATAACATTCAGCATTTGATTGGACACAATTATTAAGAAAGGTGAAAATATGTGGTTGAGGTTTGCGTAGAGGAGAATGAATAATTGCTTAAAAGAAAGTGGAACCTTATTCTGGGACAAACTAAAAAGTTATTGTAGAATCTATTTTCTAGAGAGAGTACCAGTTAACAAATTAATTAAATAAGTTGAAATTAACACAACAATATAACTCATGGAAAAAATCTAGAACTCGGTATCAATTACTTTTAATAATAAATTTAAGTTAATAACAAACACTGTGAGGCGTACGCTTCGGTTAATATATCATTTTGGTTAATATATCTTTTAGGTTTGGACTGCTTCAGGTTTCCCTGTTGAGGCTTACGCCTCAAAGGCGAAATGCAACCGCCTTACCTCTTGAGGTGGACTGCCTTGGTCGCCTTTTAAAACCATGGCTGAGGCGTTATGGAAAAATAATTCCCAGGGGTTGATGAATCAGAATGATAATAGTGAAATTACCAACAAAATACTTGGAATTGGTTTGGGGTTCCTCTAACCGATTCATGATTCCTCATACCGGGGAACAAAATGCACCATTATATTCTTTTTTCGGACACCGAGATTGAGTTGTTTTTTCTCTTGTCTGTTGTAGCTATCTCTCTTCCAAATAAGTGTTACTTAGTTTCACTAAATATTGTAATATCACTTTCTTCTCTTAAGTTAGTAACTTAAAAGAATTTTCTTGTTGCAGGTCAATGGTTAATTGCATTACAATGAATTCAACAAGCAGAGTTGTGTTAGCTAGCTGTCGCAATGCCTTTACAATGGTTTGCTAGCAATAATTTTCTTTAACAAAATCATGAGAGAGACAATTGCTAATGAGTTTTCCAATTTCTTTGTAGGTTGCAAACCTTAGCTTGTATGGGGTTGCCTTCATTGCCTTCAACTACAGCACGTCTGGGAAGATAGCTGATGTTGAGAATGAGGTATTTTAATTTATACTTTCTCCGTTTCTTGCGTGCCAAATTTATCATCTTTTAAGTCGTTTTAGATATTCTAATCTAGTGTAAATATGCAGTACCGATGGATAGCATATATCTCAATTTTCATTGGATGCTGCTTTGTGGGAATGTTCCTTCTCGGAACTAAAGAGCCAAGGTTTGTCACCTACCTTTTTTTCTCCATTGCTCCACAACAAAGGACCTCACTTGGATATTAGATTAAACCAAACTAAAATAAACAAACCCAGTATACCTATCTCAAGAGTAAAGGCTAGGGAGGGTGCAAGATGTATGCACCCCATTCTACACCGAGTAGTATAGAGTTTTTCTCCGAAAGGATCCCCCAAAAACAATGAAAAATAGTGCTAGTGCAAGGACTGGACACACACACACACACACTAAGTCACAAACACACACACAGCTCTTACAAGGACTCCACAATTCTTATATGATTAGCGTCAGATACTCTTTCTTTCACCTAGGAAGCAACATTCCTTGTTTTCCCTTTTTTTTCCAGATTGAAACAAGAAGCTCATGCTAGCGGCTATGTTAGAGTTTCTTGGAGTTATTGGTTTAAGAAAATCATTTATCACCAAGTTGCCCTTGTTTATGTGCTGACTAGACTTGTAACTAATGTTTCACAGGTCAGTTTATGTTTTTTGGTTTAGCTATGCTTAATACATAATATCTGTGTGGCTCTCATGGTATTTTAAGTCTTGGAATCTTATGGTTTAAACATCTTTGTTGGCTCAGTCATTCCTCGCCTTCTATGTTATCAATGACCTAAAGATGAGCCACTCTGCTAAAGCTTTGGTATCTCATCTCGGACCACCTCTTTTATGTTACTTTAAATATATTTCTTATTTTTCGGAAGATGATTTTTATATTAAAAAACAGAAAGCATTTAAATTTCTAGTAATTCATACAATGTATTGATAGGTCCCTGCCATCATCTACATTTGGAGCTTTATTGTTTCTATCATGCTACAGGTTGTAGTTCAATTCACTTTCCTTTATTATGACTCCGTATTATTTTTCTTTGATCATTGATGACATTCTTCTAAATGTAGGAACTAAACTGGACTAGCCAACGGATAAAAGCCTTTTATAGTGCAGGAGGCCTGCTATGGATATTTAGTGGCATAGGCATACTGCTTCTACCCAGTAGTATGAATAGTACTATGTACATCCTCTCAATCGTGATCGGTGTTGCGAATGCCCTGATGATGGTATGCACACATGCATGTATGTGGTTTTGTATGTATGTAATTTGAGTGTATGCGCCACTTACTCTATACGGTGTAACAGGTAACTGGTACAGGCATGCAAAGCTTTCTGGTTGGTGAAGATCTTGATGGCTGTGCTTTTGTATACGGGTCGTTGAGCTTCATGGACAAAATGTCATGTGGACTGGCACTGTTCATTCTCGAGTCATATCAGAGTAAACTTCTTGTCATTCATTCGTTTCCTTTTTTCATCTTCTTGTGCTTTGCTACGTCATTAAAAGGAACAAGAAACCCCTCTAAGTAGATGTGAGCGGTTAGGCAGTGGAGAGTTTGAGGAGAGACAGGGGTTCAAAGGAAGAATTGAGATAAGATAATTAGACATTTCATGGCCTTAGATATGTGACCTAATATTATAGTAGTTGCCTAGACCTTTGGGTTTTATTGCCTAAGTTTGTAGTTTGTGCATGTCTGTTTTCTTATTTTATATGCTTTGGGTCTAGTGCATGTACATCGAACAATGAATGAATGTAGGCATGACGTATGTCTACATTCATCCATTTTTGAATGTATCAAGAAAGTCACAGTGGACAGTTAATATGGAACGGAGAGAGTACTCAACTTGTCACTGTTTTCACAACACAATGCAGAGACTACACCGGCGCTGGGCAAGTGTAATCCGGCTCACACATGTTTCTCCTTAACACGGTACGCCGTCGGTCTGGTTCCAGCAATGTGTGCCCTTTTGGGTGTGATAGTCACCTGCTCAATGAAACTCCACACAGTCCCATTGAGGAAGCCTTTAGCAGAACCCCTTTTAGCCTAACACATTCCTCAACAGTTAACAAGGAGAACCAGCTTTTAAGAACTTAACAGTACAACAGAAAACTGATACATATATATACATACCAGGGGAGAAATTGTGCCACTTATTACTGCTTCTAAAGGTTTTATCATTTACATTTCCCATCAAAGTTGTACATATTTATGTGTAATCTAGATTTTGTGTAATTGTACAATCCAAATGTTCATCAAAGTTGTACATAACTACACATTTATCTGATCAAAGGTAAGGTATTCATGTTGGATTATCTCTATGTTATCATCAACTTATTCTTATTACTTATTACTTGTTTCATCAGATCATATTAGAAATAGTTTTAAATATAAATACAATCAGATCAGATCACATCAGACTTTAACAAAATCAGATTAGATCCAATCAAATCAGATGAAAAGGACTAAGCTTTTAATTTTCATGATTTTTGTTAAGTTGATCTTTGAGAGGGATTGTCTCAAATCTCTATCATAAGCAACCACAAGAAAACATGATGCTTACTGCTTAGGCATACTATATTTAGGACCATACTACCCTTCTAAGTTTGACACTATTGATGATACCTATGTATGGTACACATGGGAAGAAGGGAGTGGTGGATCCAAAAAATTGAAGAGTTGGAGACACCAATTAAAGTCTTGATGTGTCAATAAAGCAAAATACCAATACAAATTACAAATATTTAAATTCATAAAATTGTTCTCTTTCATTTAAATTAAATTTCATTTTACTATTTGCATAGTCAAATTTTATTTTACTTTCTTTATTTATTTTTGTTACTCATTTTATAAAATAGTACTACGTATATTTTTGTCACATATTGTTTTGTAGAATTTTGCATGTAATTTTTAAATATATAAATTTTAGTTTTTTTAATTTCATCTCATATTTCTAATAATTTAATTTGAAAATAACTTTAGTGAAAAATCATAAATTGAAACAGTCGATATAAATAAGGTCGGAGGGAGTATATAACAATTCTAGTATGATAAATCAATAATAGTAATTTCTACTATTGTTGTTGACGAGGTTTTATCTTTTGAAAGTGATTATTATAGTTTCATTTGAAACTATTTCAAACTTATTTTTGGGCACGGGTTGGATGGCTGGTTTGGGCCTCCTCAGGTCGGGCTTCAGATGCGGATTTGGGCTAGCACACATGCCTTCCTTCATGGTTTGGGCTTTTCCAGTTTTGGGCTCTACCTGGCTTACTTGGATTATTTTTGCACATATTATTTTTTTCATTCTTTAGTTGGGCTTTTCTGGATTTTAGACTGGACTTATGTCGATTGCAGTTCTTGGCTTAGAACATTTTTTCTTGATCGGATTATCTGACCTTAGGCCTTACCCTTGCGGGGGCTGAGGCTCCGGGAATGATTTTATTCCTAGATCTAAGTGGAATGTTTTGAGTCGGCTTTGTAATTGCACTTAAGTCTATGTTCAATATCCGATAAGCGCTTCACATTATAGTTCTTTGGTTGTTGCTTACTTTTATACAAGTGAGGAGCATGTTCCCGCTTGTTCAAACGTTTGTATTCTTTAATTATTTAATAAAATGTTTTTTTTTAAAAAAATAATCATTTCATAATTCATCACCAATTAGATTTTGCAAATAGGTCTTCACAGCGTTTGCGTGACTCATTGCCACGAAGTAACTTTTAACACTTGAAGTCGCGACAAGTAAAAACAATGCTAACTTCAAAAATTTATATACCAAATGAAAGGTGATATGTTTTTCTCTCTTTACTTTAAATGTAGGGGTTTAGGTTTGATGGAGTCCTAAATTTTAATTGGGAATCCAAAATATACATGTGTAGCTGTTTACTTTTAGACCAAAATTTGTACAGGCTCTTTTCCAGACGAACATAATATAAATTTGCCATGTATAAGAGAACACAAGTGGCTGCTGTTGGGGTTGTGGTTCGAAATCATTCACATTCTTTAAATGACGTTGTATTGTTTGTAGGAAGTCTAACTTTAAGAAAACGGGTAACTTGATCATCAAACAAGTTCTTTTTGTTATTTGTAACTTTTCTAATTCTACGGCGAAAATTCAATGCCACTCTTCTTTTTGTGAAATGTTTTGGATCATATACAGTTTTGGGTGGAATACTTTTGTTTTAAAATTAGTATAAATTTGATTTTTAATAACCTATTTTATAACACCTCGATTATTAAAAAACATATTTTACATTAAAAAACCAACTTTAAAAATATCAAATAATTAGAATAATAATGTCGGTCCTTACCAATTTGGTGATCTTGTGCAAGTGCACACTTTTTAAGTCCCTGTGTTTGACGAATCATGTTTTCTCATACTAGGCATGACACGAATAATAAATTTGGAATGAGATTGATTAGACTATTGGTGTACAACGCATTTACTATATCAGATATTTTGACGTTGGACTGAAATGATATGACTTTGTTTGAAAATAATATTTTCAATTAGCAGAAGAATTTCAAATACTTTTCTAATCATATATATAAATTTTAAAAGGAAATTTATCTCAAATAATCTCTCATTCTCGCACTTTTCTAAAAATGATCCATTTTTCAATGTCACATAAAATCATTCCACCTTTACTCATGTGTGTGAGTTTTGAGTCGCCGTTAGGACGCTACTGGTTACTCAATAGAATTTTTAAAAAATATTGGTTTCTCACAAATAAATGAAATGTAGGATTATTTTAGGTAAATTCTCTTTTTTCATTTTTTTCATTTTTAACTTTAAATATAAATGTATTTTTTAAAAATGTTTTTATAAACAATACCAAATTTAAGTGTTTTTTGGAATGACACTAATTATTTTTTTCAATAATCAATAATCTAGCAATAACTTTTTTTACCAAAATAATATTTTAAAAGTTGTAAAATTGCACAACAAATTATTCTACACAATGGAACTAATTTATTTAATCCAAAACTCACTTATTTTTTGTAGGTTGCAATTATTTTCTTGAGTGGTACTTCAAATTCTTTTTTGATACTATACTATTATTTTTGCAAACAACATTACAATAGTTGTATTGCAAATTTTTTTATAACTCGCTACATTTTTTTGTTTTATTGCAATTTTTTTCATTTACAACACTCCAAAATATTTATCGATTATTTTCTATTACCCGTATTATTTTTTTCTAAAATGACACTACAAACTTGTGATTTTTCTCGATATATAATTCAGTAAAAAAAATTTCCCCAAGGTAACAATTCAAAAGTTGTGAAAATGGCACAATATTTTTTCTCCATAACGGCACCAAGTATTTTTATAACTCACTACAACTTTTTTTTGCAATTTCTTTCTCGAGCGATACTCTAAATTAAATTATTTCTCGATAATCCAATATTATATTTCCCCAAGAGCAGAATACAAATTTTGTAAATTGTTATATTTTTAAAAAAAATTGAGACAAATATCTAACAAGAGTCTACTGTTATTTTTTAAAATAAATTTAAAAAACGAGAAAAGTATACTTGCCTAAGATAATCACACCTTTCATTTATTTACGAAAAACATGCATTTTCTAAAACTTCTCTTAAATAGCCGTTAGCTTCGGCGACCTAAAACTCACCACATAAGAAAACATACATATTTTTAAATATGTATGTTTTATTTTTTATTTCTATACCAATATTTAAATAAAATAGATTGAAAAAACTTGGGATTTTTCTTCGTTTTGCGCAACGGGAAGAAATATATAGGACGGAGGGAGTAGATTATTTTTGAAAAAACGTAAAAAGTTAAGATTATTTTATATAATTTTTTTATTTTAAAAACATTTAAACAATATACTGACATTTTTTTGTTTTTTTTTCAGAACACTAAAATTAAACGTTAAATTAGTGGCAAATGCTTAAAAATTCGTTTGGGATTCCAATAGAATTAGAGTTCTACTTCATCTAATGTACTCCGTACAAGTATTAACATTTATTATTCGAAAAATAAATATAAAAAAATACGCAGTAATAATAAGCAAAAGAAAAAAATTCCAGTTTAACGTTGGAGTGAGCGAGGGCCATAAATAAGTAGATCCACAGAATTATATGGTTCCCTGTTGCCCCGCCCGATCCTCGATTTCGCCATTCTTGTGGACCTCGTCCTCCCGCTCCCGCGGCCGTCTTCTTCTTCTCCGGCGGGCCATCGCATCGCAGAATTGTAATCCGCGGTTAGGGCTTGGGCTCGTGAAAGATTTTTTTTGAGGGATCAATCCGTATTTGCATCGGAGGAAGAAGATAATGAGTACGGATCTGGTGTCGCCGAGCTCACGGGGAAATCTGGACGAGCAGATTTCTCAGCTCATGCAGTGCAAGCCCTTGTCCGAGTCTGAGGTTAATCTCCCGTCTTCTAAAAGTTTCTGCTTTGTTTTTGTTGCGGATCTGTTTTTTTTTTCCTTTCAATTTTGGCATTTTGATATTGCGTCCATTGTTAGTTTTTCCTACATCTGTTTGGTTTTTGGAGCGAGCATGATTTTTCAAGACGATCCACAGATAGATGTTCAAAAGTTTGGATCTTTGGGGTTTTTTTTTTGCAACTTTATGTTGAAGAAACTTAGAATTCGTTTGCAATATGATTTTTATAAAAATGAACGAGTTCAGACTATTGGAGTTGGGAATCTCAACTTCGAAAAGCAATTTGGATTTGATTGTGCTCGAGATAAATACCATGGAAACAAGTAAAAGGAGAAGATACAGGAATGTACTATGAATGAAAAAGTACTGGGATGCACTGCAAAAGAGGGAGCTGTAATTAGTTACATGTTGATAGTTTGGGAATAATGCACTTATACCAGTCCTAAGTAGATACAAGCAGCTTTCCATATCATTTCGAAGTAATATAATGATATTTATCATGGCAATCATGTCACCTTTATTTGAAGTTTCAAGATAAAAGTCTTGATTTTTGAATAGGCCGCCATGAAAGTCTATATTGGAATATGCTTATATGCATTGAACTCAACTCCATAACTTGGGATATACTGTATTAATGATGAATTTACTCTTTTACTCCCCCGTCACTTGAACAAAGTAACACTTTCCATTTTCGACATCCCAAAATTAAAGTCACAGTTCCATATTTGGCATGCCTAACACTCAAAACAATATAATACCTCTACCTATCCCACTCACCTTTTTCTACCCATCAACATTCCTCCCCCACCTTCATTAACCTATTTGAGGTCTTTGAGGAGTCTTCTTGAAAGGTCAAAGCACTTTACATTTTTTGCCTCAATGTGTATGAAGTCAAAC